GCTTTGAAAAATATCAAAGCGAAAATTCTATTACATGACGTCATACAAAGTCCCTCTATAGTCTGCATTTCAGTAATATACAGCCAGCTCATTGTGAATTCCGCGAATTCCTCTGCAGAATGAATAAATGCCGGAAAGGGGAAAATGGGAAAACTAAACTCGTGTAAAAGGGATGATTCTTTTGATAATCGATAATTGTAGTCAAACTATAAAACAAAATGTCATAAGGTCGGTTCCTGTTCCTGACAGACCCTTTCTCGGTCCCTACTACTGTCATCTCCCTTGGGAAGAATTCATTTTGTTCTCTTGTTGCCGCAGTATTATTATTCATTTTCCACGATGTATATACACAGTCTGGATGAGTTTATATTTTATAGGAAGCTGGAATGAGTCAGACGTTTTTGTCAGAGGGAGGTATTTAAGGGTTCTTTTCGCTGCGGAAATTTTTTAATAAAATATTTTGTTGTTTGTATGGCAAGCTACAGCCATATATGGATATAAATAAAGGAGATAGTGGTTATGAAATGAAATGATTTATTTATATTGGAATTTTCTTTGTCTTGAAGATTTCTGATGGGTGTTGATTTATACAGGGTGTTTTCTACATTTACAAAACAAACCGTGAATGTACTTTAGACTCAGAAATGTAATTATGAATTTTTTCTCACTTAGATGCATTGCATCAACAGGAACTACTCCTTTGTAGAAGTTTTGAGTACGCTGCGTCTCAGGAAGGTCTTCTCTTCGAAATCTGTATTCTGTCATTCGATAATTTTTACACAATAACATAAGGTCCTTTATATTTCTCCAATAGTTTCTTTGACTCGCCTGTAGGTGGATTTTATTGTTTTCTGAGACAAGATCTCTTGGAATGTAGTTTGTCTTTTTTGCTTTTCCTTTATTAAATATCTCTCTCTGCTTCTCTGGATCTTTTCTAATCATTTCTAATACATTTTGTCTTCATTCCTCTGTCCGCACCAAAGTCTTGATTCTCTAGCTTATTTTGTATGACTTCACCATCTATAAGTCGTGGTTTGAAGCTGAATAATAACTCAAATGGTATTCTTTCTGTTGCTCTGTGCAATTCCGTACTGATTTCTACCAATATATTTATCCCAATCTTCACCATCTCGACTGCCACACAGTGGCGGCTCGTGACTATTTCAAGTGAGGAGGCTAATTACAGTATAGGATTTCATGAAATTCCTCGGAATTCCATTAAGATTTCAATTTCAAAATTCCATATATTTTTTTTAACTTTACTAAAATTCCTCAAAATTTTACCACTGAAATATCCTGGAATTCCACAAAATTTTCATAAAATTCTTTGGAATTTCATTGACGTTTCATGTAATTTCTTAAAAATTTCTCGGATTCACTAAAATTTTATGAGAATATCCACGTTCATAACCGTAAATTTCTCGAAAGTGCAATGAAACTTCAAGGAATTTTCAAAATTTAATTTATTTTCATAAAAAAAATTCGGAATTTCACTGAAATTCTCTTTTAATAGCCAGGAATTTCTGGGAATATTAATGAAGTTTCAAGTAATTTCTTAAAAATTCATCGAAATACATTGAAATTTCATGTTATTACGTGGGAATTTTTCGGAATATCACCGAAATTCCATGTTTTTAGCTGGAAATTCCTCGGCATTACTTAAATTCAGTAAAAACTGAAATTTCATGTTGGGAATTTCGGTGTAATTTCATGTAATTGTTTAAAATTCCTCCATGTAATTCATTTAGGATTTCGTGTAATTCGATCGGAATTTCACTGAAATTTCAAGTAATTCGAGAGGAATTAAAATTTAATGTGATTTCTATGGAAACTCCGCAAAAATTTCACATCTAATTCCTTTTTCAGAATAACATAATTATTCTACCGAAATTCCACTAAATTATGGAATTCTGAGATTTTAATAGATTTTTGGGGATTCCAAAGGATATTTGGGAATTTTAAAGGAAATATTTTTCAGAAATGTAAATGATTGGGTTTAAAATAACCTATAAATCGAGATTTGATAAAAACATATGGCAACGCTGCTCATGATACAACAAACGTCAAAAAATTGAAATATCAAAGTAGGCCTTGGTTTTTTTTGACAGTCGATATAAAATGGCGTTTTTTTGTTTCAAAGATTACGATCCGAAGAGCCGAAGCATTAAAATCAGTTGACAATGAACAGGTTCGTATAATTCCGGCCCTTCGGGTTCGCATGATTCCGGCCCTTCGGACTCGTATAACCTCGGCCCTTTGAGCTCATAAATAGGAAGTTTCATCGATATATGTCAAAAACCAACCGCCTGGCAACGCCGAACGTCTTTTTTGACATACCTATGTTAAAAAAAAAATTGTACTTCTTACGTATTCGCCGAGGCTAAATCTATATGCCCATTAAAATTTTGACAGCTGTCAATCTCAAAAAAAAATCTTTTTTTTTTCCAAAAAAACAAAGGTCGTTTTTTAGTGGGTTTTAGGGTGAGATTTATGTAGCAACAGTTGGTAGAAAAAATTCAATTTCCCTTCGGGTTTGGAATTCGAATTTTTGAATTTTCCCGGCTCCTGATTGGTTTGGGGATTCGAATTTTGTTTATTCCCGGCTCTTGATTGGCTTTAAAATAATCTATAATTTCGGCCCTTCGAGCTGGAAATTTGAAAGACAAACATATGGCAACACTGCTCATGATACAACAAACGTCAACAAATTAAAATTTCAAACCTTGAGTTTTTTTGACAATCGATACAAAATGACGTCTTTTTGTTTCAAAGATTACGGCCCAAAGGGCCGGAGTATGAAAAATCAGTTAACAATGAACGGGTTCGTTCGGACAAAACTTTTGTCGCACGACACTTTGACAATATCAACAAATGTCATCTGTCAAATTTGACACATGTTCGACTTTTTCTCCGCTCTACTATAAAAGCTACGAAAATCAAACCCCGGTACAAGGCAGTTTCGCGACGCTAACTATCGTTTTGTATCAAAAAAAATTGACAGCTGTCAACGTCAAAAAAGGTTTTTTTTTTTATTTTGCGAATTTTGAGAAATAAAGTGATAGAAAACGATCCCCGGACCCCAAAAATCTTAAATAAAAATTCCAAAAAAAACCAACGAAAATGACATTCCAAAACCTACTTGATAAAACTAAAGTTTTTCTCACTTACCCCGTTAAAACACTGGAAATTTTTGGTGGAAAATGAAGAAAACTCAAAGTCTCATAATTTAAATCGGTTTTTCCGACCAGAAAAGCTCTGGAAAAGCGGACAAATTCAAAGAAAAACGTCTAAAAATGACATTTCAAAGCCTACTTAATGAAATTTAAGTTTTTGTCACTTACCCCATTGAAAAACTGGGAATTTTTAGTACAAAATGTAGGAAATTCAAAGCCTCGTATTTCAAATCGGTTTTCTTGACTGAAAACGGCTTGGAAAAGCGGAAAATTCGAGGAAAAACTGGATAGAAATGTGAACACGTCAATTAAAAATTGTCGACTGTCAAAACTGGCAAATGACATTTATTACAAAACCTATTCGAAGTTGGTACAAACGGTGTTGCCACATCAAAACTTCCAAAAAAACCATTTTAAATGGGATTTGGTTATTTATGTCATTTTAAAAATGGACATTTTTGCTAGGCCCCGTGATTAAAATAACTCTAGCCCTTCGGGCTCGCGTATAATTCCGGCCCTTCGGGCTCGCGTATAACTCTAGCCCTTCGAGCTCGTATTACTCCGGCTATTCGAGCTCGCATATAACTCCGGCTCATCGGGCCGGTATTACTGAGTATTCCAGATTCACAGATATTTGTCGTGGAGGCGCGGGATTGATTGAAATGATGTTGTCAGATTTTTCTAAATTACATTGAAATATCGAAAATTGGAAAATGTAATTTGTTAATTATTATTTTAATTAGAAATAAGGAATAAAAAACTGAGATTGAATTTTCAATTTTTTGGGGGAGGTTTAGCCTCCTCTGACGAGCCGCCACTTCTCCCACACATACTTGCTAGTGCTGGAATCAATTATCTATTTACTCGTTCTATTTGTCCATTTGCTTGTGGAGTCGACGTGGCACCTAAAATGTGACTGATCTTTTTGTATTTGCACAAGTTTTTGAACGGAGTTCCAGTAAATGAAGTATCTCTATCTGTAATAATTCTGTGTGGTGGACCTACTATATTCATTATTTCTTCGGAGGCTTTTGCAGAAATCACTGATCTCGTATTTTGACTGATTTTAAAAACATAAACGTCGTGAATCCATCTATTATCAGTAGTATGTATTATTTTCCTTTTGTACAGGGCGTCCAATATTCGATGGTTTTGGGGGATTTCGGGTATTTCTAAAGGTGTTGGAAAAGATCTGACCCCCACTTGCGAGCCTCTATTTTCAAGAGAAATTGACTGGTAAAAACTGCATCTCGATATGTCGGGTCGTTTTTATGCTACGAGGGATTTTTGAAAAGTTTGGAGTTTGGCAGGGGGTCTATAACTTTTTTATTTATGAAATTTTGGTTAACGTTTCCCCTTGTAGCTTAAAAATGAATCGAGATATCGAGATGCGGGTCATACTGGTCCACTCCTCTAGAAATACCCGAAACCCGTCAAAACCATCGAATCTTGGACACCCTGTACTCTTGATAAAGGGCCCCAGGTAATCTAAGTGCACCGTGTGAAATAGAAAACCAATTTTGTCTATAGAATGAAGTTTGCTTGGAGGTTTTCTACTAGGACCAATATAGTTCTTAGCAGAGTCCTTCATTTTTAGCCACCAGTAGAGTTTTCTAAGTTTATCCAAAGTTTTTGGAAGAACTGGGTGTCCTAAATCATCGTGATATTTCTTCATGATCCTCCATCTAATTTTACTAGGAATTTTCGAGTTTTTATCCCATAAGTTCACTTTAGGCTTATGGGCAACTCTGGTATTTTCAGATCCTTCAAAAATTCATTCTGTTTACCTTCATTCTTTTCTTCAAAGATTCTCAGTGTAGTGCCTCTTCATATTATCACAATATGTTCTTGTTGTTGTCCAATCGAAAATGGCATATTATCTAAAACATTATCTGATACTACATAAATGTCAGTTCTAGCATGCGCCTGGTCTAAACCTATATCAACATTTCTAGCTATGCCCAAAGGCTTGATTTTTCCTTCGCCAAAACCTTTGATCCACATGTCACTTGTCAATTTGTCATACTTCAATTTTATGTTTTAAGCATCTGATAATCTCAGTAAAATCTGTTTTTTTTTAAAGATAAAAGTCAAAATTACATTATGTTGGCAATACAATGTAAAATTGTCAATGCTCTCAAATTTTTTACGTAGAAAAGACTTGTGTTGCCAACATAGTTACTAAATTTTTGACTTGGGGAATTATCTTTAAAAAAAAAAAACAGACTTTATATTGCATTGACTACCTAAGTCCACATAAGATTTTATGCTGTTCTCATTGACAGTTGCTTCCTGAAAATACTTCAGATTTTGCTCTTTTCTACCACTATTTTGTGAGTTTACCGCTATTGCTGTGGTTCGTCTGAGGTGCTTCAGAGGAAGTTGAGGGTTGATTCTGGGAGCAATATTTCGAGATGTATCCATATTTCTCGCATTTGAAGCAAAGGGGCTTGTCTTCAGCATTTTTAGGTGGTAAGTATCTCAAAGAGTGCTGTTGACCCTCTATTCTGGCATTACCATCAGTATGATGCCTGGTCCTGCTTCTCACTTGTTTTCTGAGCATTATTCATGTTTTCCTTGTTTAAGTTAGTTTTATAGTTAGTAAAAAGCTGCTGACGCCTATTTTCAATATCTGCGTAGTTGTGCAAGTCTTGAAATAATACATCTGTGGTATAATGCCTTTTTGCTCACGTTGCATCGCACATTTATCGAGAATGTAACCTAATAAGCACATGCCCTTTGATTTCATCTAGTTCTAGGCCTAAATCCTTACATAACTTTACTTTCTCATGAAAATATGAATTTAAACTTTCATTTTTAACCTAAACTCTATTCTCCATTTTCTTAAATTTTACTGCCAAAGTTTCTTCAATTGTAGCATTGAACTTGTCTACAAAATCTTTCTATGTTAAAATTTCATAACGCTTAGATATATACCAATATTTAGCTCCTTCTACTGACCTCGCTCTTACTGTTTCCAGCATGTAGTTATTTTGAATTTGGTGTAAGGTTTGCGCATTATTTAATGTGTCCAACCACAAAACTACCTCCGAAGGGATTCCACCAAAATTCCCAATGTTTCTTAAAAGGACCTTCCCAAAGTATACGGAAATTGTGTTTATGTCAGAATTTGCTGAATTTTATATGTGATGTAAATGACGCCTTTCTGATTAAAAGTTACCATTGCACCAATCCTGAAAAATTACTATACATAGCACACCACTGCGCCACAAGCTTACCTATTTGTGTTACATTGTTTGTACTTGAACAATAACTTATTATATAAAGTCAGAATTTGTAAGATTATCCACTTTTTGTCAATTTGCCTTTCAATAGGAATTAGTGATGTTACTGTACCAAAATAGTAACATAATGTGACAAGTTATTCAAGTACAAACGAGTGAATTGTTGCGGAATTTATGGGTGGACATCTGCGGGACAAGCGCAGCGAGTTCCGCAGCCATATATTCATCAATATGTTGTTTAAGTACAATACTAACCTGATTCACTCAAATGTCGGTTATTCTTATTAGTTCAAAAACTACAAGTTTCAGTTGAGTGTCTTATTTGAATAGTTCAACAGTATATTGGTAAGTAAATGGCTGCGGAACTCGCTGCGCTCATTCCATAGAGGTCCACCTATAAGATCCGCAATAATCCACTTATTTGTACTTGAACAATAACTTATAATATAAAGTCAAAAGGACCCCGCACATTTCTTATGGAAAAGTGATCTATAGTTCATACCAAATAAACTTACAGTCGGGTTGTCAAGCTCGGCCGGCACAGCGTTGCCGTCTCTTCCATATTTTCCTTTGGTCAAAATATTTTCAGAAACAATAATGGATTATTGTATTATAATATAATGTAAACATTTATTACTTAAATTATAAACATTGCTTCAAAGCTTGGTTTTATAGATATTTAATAACAACTCAATTTTCAATCATCACATAAAATATAATAATAACGCTCAGTACCTATTTTATTTACAGCCACTCTAAATACTATAAAAATCTTATTAAATATTATGAATATTTGATCCATCAAGAAGATTTTCAATTATTCTGGATCACTGAAATCGCTGAAATCGCTAGAGTCTTCATCAATATTGATAAGTGAAAGGATGTATGCTATTGAAGTGGAAGAGCGTATGCCATATGAGCATTGTCTATAACAATGACAGATAGTTCACTCAAGTTCTTCAACAGCTGATTTTCGAACCAACATAAAAAGTTTTGCTGATTAATTTCTTCATGATGGTCGTTAAGTTGAGTTTTCGATGAATATACAAGCGATGTACCTTCAATGAATCCATTTTCAGTGCCAGCATGAAGTAGGTATGATATATCTAGAAAAAGCATTTCTTTGTACATATAATACACTGCTCTCTGTATTCATGTTTATATTTACCTATACCATCAACTTTGGTAGTTTTAACACTTCGCTTGTTGTTGTCTTCCCACGGTTAATAGTACCATTTTGAAAAATCCAAGTCTCGTTCAAGAAAACAAACTGGTACAAAGCCTCCTGTTTCAGTCTTAGATAAGACCTTAAAAATGTTATGCGTTTAACAGCAATATCAGAGACTTTATTCGTGAAACCGAGGAACAGCGTTCTCATGAGAACGATTGCTTTGTCATTGTCAGTGTTATGGAAATATGAATACGGACGATGAAGACAGAGCCTTCGTTCTCATGAGAGCGCTGCTCCCCTGTTTCGAGAATAAAGTCCCAGGAAGTTCCATGAGCCCTCGTCTTGGGTCATTTTTTTTCCATTTGAAGCCTATTTCTTTTAAGATTCTACTCAATGGCATGCTACTGCCATCAAATAATTGTTTGTCTTTCAATTGCCCCCATATACAGGATAATGTTACATGCTGTTCTACAAGAAGAAAAAAGGCGATTCATAGATATCTATATGTACCTTTGTCTCAAACGATTTACTTTTTATACACATATCGTAAATAGTGTTATGTATAGCACTGCTATCGAGCTTTGAAACATAACAGACTCTCTTATTCGAAGTGCATCGTTTCTTAGAAGGCGATTCCAAATCTTCATTATTTTTTACTGCCTTCGAAATAGCACAGACAGTGGACATACTTAAGTTTAAAGCCTCTGCTACTCGCTAAAAATGAGAGAAAGTTCAAATTAAAAATTCGTATTTGGTCACACGACAGCAACGACTTATAAACTCACCTTCCTAACAGCATTTAAGGGACATTAAGGGCCATTATTATCGCGTTCTCGTTCGAAATATTGTAAAAAGGATGCGATTAGTTCTTTGCAACGGCTGTTAAGCTGTTTCGGCATCTTGTACACTTCGCACTACAAGCTGATTTCAAAAAACAAGGTCACAATTAACAGCACAAACCAAAAACTCGTAAACTGCCAAAATGCAATCAAAATGTCAAGAATTTAATTTGGCAACGTTACATTTTTTGACATGGTGTTACCAACTGAATGGCCAGCGGGAAATTCAAATTCCAATTAAGTCAATCCGACGCCGAATATTTTCACGGTTGGCGATATCGATTTTAAAAATGGCGTCATCGATGTCACAACAACAAGTTTATTTGGTATGAACTATATGTGGAATTTTGCTGAATTTTTGATATTGTGTATAGGGAGTCGTCCTTAACAAAAGTGATCATTGCGCTAATGTTCAATACCCAACAGTTTTCAAGATATCATTTAAAAACTTTTTTATTATTACTCTTCAGTATGACGTCACTCACAGCAACGAAAATTATTACTATCCTTTCCACTTTTGACTTTGACTTTACTCTTCTCCTTTTAAAATTAAGAAAAAAAAAAGATAGCGATAGCGATTAGTGACAAATAGGTAGGTATGTAAACAACACCTAGTTTCTGCCGCAATCGTCAACTTCATGTCATGATGTCTGTCATATAGCGATTTCATTTATACCTGTTGTTGTTTTTTTCTATTTCCTAAATGTTAAAAGGAGAAGAGTATAAGTATAGGTAGTCAAAGTCAAAAGTGAAAAGGATAGTTTTAATTTTCGGTGCTGTGAGCATACTGGTGACGTCATACTGAAGAGTATCAAATTAAAAAAGTTTTTAATTGATATCTTGAAAACTGTTGGGTATTGAACATTAGCGCAATGATCACTTTTGTTAAGGACGACTCCCTATACACAATATCAAAAATTCAGCAAAATTCCACATAGATCACTTTTCCATAAGAAATGTGCTTTGTAAGATTATGATTATTCACTTTTTGTCAATTTGCTTTTCAACAGGAATTAGTAATGTTATTTTATCAAACTAGTAACATAATGTGACAAATTATTCAAGTACAAACGAGTGGATTGTTGCGGAACTTATGAGCGGACCCAGCCATCTATTCACCCATATGTTGTTCAAGTACAATACTAACCTGATTCACTTAGTTGTGAATTTTTCTCATTAGTTCAAAAACTACACGTGTCAGATGAATGTCTTATTTGAACAGTTCAATTGGTGAGTAGATGGCTGCGGAACTCGCTGCGCTCGTCCCGCAGAGGTCCACCCATAAGTTCTCTAATAATCCACTTATTTGTATGTACGTTCATTACAATGTCCAAGAGTTTTACTTGCTACCTATAAAATAAATTATCTCAAAAAGGAATTACTTTTCAGGATTGATGTAATGGTAACTTTTAATCAGGAAGGCGTATTCTACATTACAGAGGTTATTCTAACGTGCAGTGGGACATACAATGTGTAGTAGGAAAAGTACATTGTGCAGTGGGAAATTAAAATCTGTGTAATTTAGTTGACATAATATGCTACATTATGAGAATACAATGGCACTATCAATCAGAGATGGGCATCTACGCGTAAACAAAGATTGTCTACGTCTGGTGTAAACAACGAGTAGACAATGTAAACTATGTAATCTATGTAGACAACGTGTAAAATATGTAGACAACGCGTGAAGTATACAATTTTTGACAGTTGACAGGCCTTTAAGGTTATGTTTCTGTTTTTGCTTTGTTTTTTTTTTTTGCTTTGTAATGTTAATTAAACTACAGATAATGTCTAATTTGATACAATATAAATTTAATGCAATGCAAACTTTCAAAAAAATTACTCAAATTTCAAATTTTCTGTTGTCTACATTGTCTACATAGTTTACATAGTCTACATGGAAAAAAGTGAATGTAAACAATAGGTAGACAACGAGTACCTAGACAAACCGCGTAAAGTAGATTTCATAGTTTACGGCACATCCCTGCTATCAATACATATTCTAAAATGTCTTGCTATTTTTTTCCTCAGAATCATCTCCAAACTCTCTCCTTGTCTCATCCTCGTCATTAGCATTGGCTTCAGCATAAATACCCTTGTAAAGTATTTTTATTCTGACTTGAAACACTGCATTATACGAGAATATTTCAGCATCACGTCGCTCTCTTCTAATAATTTCATAGAAAATCTATTGTAAGTTTCCCTGTAGAAAATATAAGCATCGACGAAATATCGCTACAGTGGCCCAAAATAATAATTAAGGTCGGCGTGTTCCCGGGAACAATGTAAATATCAGTGTC